CACCTGGGCACACACCTGGGCACACCTGGGGGGGAACTGGGCACACCTGGGCACACCTGGGCACACACCTGGGCACACCTGGGCACACACCTGGGACACCCTGGGGCACAGCTGAGCACACCTGGGCACACCTGGGCACACCTGGGGGCACCTGGGCACACCTGGGCACACACCAGGGCACACCTGGGCACACCTGGGCACACACCAGGGCACACCTGGGCACACACCTGGGCACACCTGGGCACACCTGTGGGGGACCTGGGCACACCTGGGCACACCTGGGCACACCTGGGGGCACCTGGGCACACCTGGGGGGGAACTGTGGGGTACCTGGGAACACCTGGGGGGGCACCTGGGCACAGCTGAGCACACTTGGGCACACCTGGGAGGGCACCTGGACACACCTGGGGGCACCTGGGCACACCTGGGGAATACCTGGGCACTCCTGGGGGGTACCTGGGCACACCTGGGGGGTACCTGGGCACACCTGGGGGGTACCTGGGCACAGCTGGGCACACCTGGACTCTCTGTTTGCCCCCCTGCAGCCCCACGTGCCCCCCAGTGTGATGGGCCGCAGGAACACCTACGTGTGCTCGGGGGGCGAGCGGCACCTGCTGCTGCCCAACGGCAAGGACAGGTGAGCGGGCACACCTGGGCACACCTGGCACACCTGAAATCCCCCGAAATCCACCAAAAAATTACCCAAATGACCCCAAAATCCACCCCAAAATTACCCAAATCCCACCCGGGAGCAGCACCTGCTGCTGCCCAACGGCAAGGACAGGTGAGCGGGCACACCTGGCACACCTGGCTCACCTGAAATCCTCCGAAATCCACCCAAAATTAACCCAAAATCCACCCCAAAATCACCCAAATCCCACCCGGGAGCGGCACCTGCTGCTGCCCAACGGCAAGGACAGGTGAGCGGGCACACCTGGCACACCTGAAATCCCCCGAGATCCACCCAAAATTCACCCGAAATTACCCCAAAAGCCACCTGTGCCCATTCTGGTATGGGAGGGGGTAGGTGGGGTCACCTGTGGGGGGGGGGGGGGGGTCCCCGGGGGGGGGGGGGGGGGGGTCACCTGTGGGGTCACCTGTGACGTCACCTGTGGTGTCACCTGTGGGTGTGTGATGTCACCTGTGGGTGTGACGTCACCTGTGACATCACCTGTGTCACCTGTGCCATTACCTGTGTCACCTGTGCGTGTCTCACCTGTCTCACCTGTCTCACCTGTGGGTGTGTGATGTCACCTGTGGATGTCTCACCTGTGTCACCTGTGGGAGTCACCTATGTCACCTGTGGGTGTCTCACCTGTCTCACCTGTGGGTGTCTCACCTGTCTCACCTGTGGGTGTGTGATGTCACCTGTGGGTGTCTCACCTGTCTCACCTGTGGGTGTCCCACCTGTCCCACCTGTGGGAGTGTGATGTCACCTGTGGCTGTCTCACCTGTCTCACCTGTCCCCTCCCCCCAGCCTGCCGTCCCGCCCGCCGCCCTCCCCCTCCAGCCACTCTCTGGGCGGGGCTCACCTGTCCCACCTGTCCCACCTGTCCCACCTGTCCCACCTGGCCCGGGGCTGCTCCGCCCGCAGCACCTTCCACGGGGGCGGGGCCGGGGGGGGCCGCCGGGCGGGGGGAGGGGCGGGCGGGGGGGGAGGGGCCGCCCCTCCCCCCGCCTCGCCCCCCCCCTCCGGCCCCGCCCCCGCCGCCGCCGCCCCGCCCCGGCCCCGCCCCACGGCCACGCTGCTCAGCAAGATCACCTCCAAGCTGACGCGCAGGTGAGCGCACCTGGGCAGGTGACACACCTGGGGGGTCAGACACACCTGGGCAGGTAACACAGCTGGGGGGTCAGACACACCTGGGGGTCAGACACACCTGGGGGGTCACACACACCTGGGCAGGTAACACACCTGGGGGGTCAGACACACCTGGGGGTCACACACACACCTGGGCAGGTAACACACCTGGGGAGAGGTTACACACCTGGGGACACACCTGGGGGGTCAGACACACCTGGGGGTCACACACACACCTGGGGGTCACACACACACCTGGGGGTCACACACACCTGGGGGGTTCAGATCACCTCCAAGCTGACGCGCAGGTGAGCGCACCTGGGCAGGTAACACACCTGGGGGGTCACACACACCTGGGCAGGTAACACACCTGGGGAGAGGTTACACACCTGGGGACACACCTGGGGGTCAGACACACCTGGGGGTCACACACACACCTGGGCAGGTGACACACCTGGGGGGTCAGACACACCTGGGGGTCACACACACACCTGGGCAGGTAACACAGCTGGGGGGTCAGACACACCTGGGGGGTCACACACACACCTGGGCAGGTAACACACCTGGGGACAGGTAACACACCTGGGGGGTCAGACACACCTGGGGGTCAGACACACCTGGGGGTCAGACACACCTGGGGGGTCAGACACACCTGGGGGTCACACACACACCTGGGCAGGTGACACACCTGGGGGGTCAGACACACCTGGGGGGTCAGACACACCTGGGGGGTCAGACACACACCTGGGCAGGTAACACACCTGGGGGGTCACACACACCTGGGGGTCACACACACACCTGGGGGGTCACACACACCTGGGGGGTCACACACACACCTGGGGGTCACACACACACCTGGGGGGGGTCACACACACCTGGGGGGTCACACACACACCTGGGGGGTCACCTGTCCATATCTCACCTGTGTCTCACCTGTCCCACCCGCCAGGGTGTCCCTGGACCCCTCCCGCCGCCAGAGCTCCAATCGCTGCGTCTCGGCCACGCCCGGCCCCGGCGCTGCCAAGATCCGTGAGTGGCACCTGGGCACACCTGGGGGCACCCAAAACTCACCTGGGCACAGCTGGGGGCACCCAAAATACACCTGGGCACACCTGGGGGCACCCAAAACTCACCTGGGCACAGCTGGCACACCTGGGGGCACCCAAAGTACACCTGGGCACAGCTTGGGGCACCCAAAACTCACCTGGGCACACCTGGGGGCACCCAAAATACACCTGGGGGAACCTGGGGGCACCCAAAATACACCTGGGGGAACCTGGGGGCACCCAAAATACACCTGGGCACAGCTGGCACACCTGGGGGCACCCAAAATACACCTGGGCACCCCCAAAACTCACCTGGGCACACCTGGGGGCACCCAAAGTACACCTGGGCACAGCTGGGGGCACCCAAAACTCACCTGGGCACACCTGGGGGCACCCAAAATACACCTGGGGGAACCTGGGGGCACCCAAAATACACCTGGGGGAACCCGGGCACACCTGGGGGCACCCAAAACTCACCGGGGCACACCTTGGGGGACATCTGGGCACACCTGGGGGCACCTGGGCACACCTGGGGATTTTCGGGATGGGATTTTTGGGGTTGGGATGGGATTTTTTGGGACATCCGAGGGATTTTTGGGATGGGATTTTGGGGAATCCGAGGGATTTTTTGGGGCCAAAGGAGAGATTTTTGGGATGGGATTTTTTGGGGTTGGGATGGGATTTTTTGGGATGGGATTTTTGGGGGTTGGGATGGGATTTTTTGGGATGGGATTTTTGGGGGTTGGGATGGGATTTTTTGGGACATCTGAGGGATTTTCGGGATGGGATTTTGGGGCCATCAAAAGGATTTTTGGGATGGGGTTTTTGGGATTATTGGGATGGGATTTTTTTGGGGTTGGGATGGGATTTTTTGGGACATCCGAGGGGTTTTTCGGGATGGGATTTTTGGGGATTGGGACGGAATTTTGGGGCCATCCGAGGGGTTTTTTGGGGGGCCAGGGTCGCAGACGAACCTGCGGGAATCGGGGGACCTGCGCTCACAAGGTGGGTGCTGCCCCTCCCCCCCCTCCCCTCCCCCCCGGGACCCCCCCGGGACCCCCCGGGACCCCCCGGGACCCCCCGGGACCCCCGGGACCCCCCGGGACCCCCGGCCTCACCTGTCCCCCCGCAGTCGCCATCTACCTGGGGATCAAGCGGAAGCCGCCCCCCGGCTGCGCCGAGGGGGGGGGGCTGTGACCGCCCCTCCCCCACCCCCGGCAGCCGCCCCTCCCCCAGCCTGGGGGGGGGCGGGGCAACGGCCCCGGGAAAGCCCGGAACCGGATCGGGAATCCCGGAACCGGATCGGGACCCCCGGAACTGGATCGGGACCCCCGGAATTGGATCGGGACCCCCCCCGGGAAACCCTGGAACCGGATCGGGAGCCCCGGAACGGGATCGGGACCCACGGAATTGGATCGGGACCCCCCCGGGAAACCCTGGAACCGGATTGGGACCCCCGGAACCGGATCGGGACCCGCGGAATTGGATCGGGACCCCCGGAATGGGATCAGGACCCCCCCCGGGAAACCCTGGAACCGGATCGGGACCCCCGGAATTGGATCGGGACCCCCCCGGGAAACCCCAAAACCGGATCGGGACCCACGGAATGGGATTGGGACCCCCAGAACGGGATCGGGACCCCCCCGGGAAACCCCGGAACGGGATCGGGACCCCCGGAACGGGATCGGGACCCTCGGAATTGGATCGGGACCCCCCCGGGAAACCCCAGAACCGGATTGGGAATTATGGAACCGGATTGGGACCCCCGGAATGGGATTGGGACCCCCAAAAGGGGACTGGGACTCCCCCGGGAAACCCTGGAACTGGATCGGGACCCCCGGAATGGATCGGGACCCCCGGGACTGGATCGGGACCCCCAAAACGAGACCGGGACCCCCAAAATGGGACTTGAACCCCCCCTGGGACCCCCAGAACCGGATCGGGACCCCCGGGACTGGATTGGGACCCCCCCGGGAAACCCCGGAACCGGATCGAGAATCCTGGAATGGGATCGGGACCCCAAAACGAGACTGGGACCTCCCCGGGAATCCCCAGAACTGGATTGGGAACCCCAGGACTGGATCAGGACCCCCAGAATTGGATTGGGACCCCCAAAATGAGACCAGGACCCCCCCCGGGAAACCCCGGAACTGGATTGGGACCCCCGGAATAGGATCGGGACCCCCCAGAACCCCCAGAACGAGACCGGGACCACCTGGATGCGACCGGGACCCCCCTGGGACCCCCCAGAACCAGACTGGGACCCCCAGAACCGAACTGGGACCCCCCAGAACCGAACTGGGACCCCCAGAACCAGACTGGGACCCCCAGAACCAGACTGGGACCCCCAGAACCGAACTGGGACCCCCAGAACCAGACTGGGACCCCCCAGAACCGAACTGGGACCCCCAGAACCAGACTGGGACCCCCAGAACCGAACTGGGACCCCCAGAACCGAACTGGGACCCCCAGAACTGGACTGGGACCCCCAAAATGAGACCCGGGGCCCCCAAAACCGCATTGGGACCCCTCCGGGACCCCCGGAACTGGATTGGGACCCCCAGAATTGGTTTGGGACCCCCGGGACCCCCAAAACGAGACCCGGGACCCCCCCGGGACCCCCAAAACCGCATCGGGACCCCCAAAAGCTGCCCGGGGGTCCCCCCAGGAGCCCCCCAAGGATTCGGCAGCCCCGGGACCCCCCCCCCCCAAGATTCGGGGTCCAGCGGCGCTGGGACCCCCCTGTCCCCATTGGGGGGGGATTTTGGGGGTCCGGTGCCAAGATTTTGGGGACCCCCACCCCAAAGCGCAGCCCCTCCCCCCCCGTGTACAGTCT